TCTTTTTAATTATGATAGGCATTCTATATTCACTGAATATTCAAGGTAGAAGCAACGAGAATGGTGAGGGTGGCTCCTTATATATACAAGGGGTGGAGCTAGGAATGGGAGTGGTAAGTTATGAATACATTAAAGTCCAAAGAATAAGTTAACCTCTGATGTTCCATATATACATTATTTACACATTGGAGAATAAGGCATTTACATCTGACAAAGTTTTTGTCAATAAAGTCTCATAGTTCCCCCAGCTCCCGGAGGGTCATGGGGTAGATTTTTGGTTTAGGGAGTTTTACCCCAGGGAGGATTTCAATGGTACAGTCCGTTGGCCGGTGGGGGGAACAATACATCTGACGCCCTTTCACTGAACACCTCCCATAGGTCCTGGTACTCTTTTGGGATCCTTTCTTCCCCCATAATGTCTGCCGCAGTTGCGGCCCCTTTGCTCGCCCCTTCAGTCATGATGCAATGGGGTTCCTCCCCTCTCTTCCCTGGTTGCTTGGAGCGGATGTGCAACACACCTGTTTTCCAGTTTATGTGTGGGTTCCATTTTCGGAACCAGGACAACCCAACTAGGAGGGGCTGTTCCATGCCCGGGGCCACAATAAAACTCAGAGTCTCTAGGTGATTCCCCCATCCTCATCTTGATTGGTTTGGCCACAAAATGGGCTGCTCCCCAGCCATCGATCCATCTAGCTGACAGAATGCGATAGGCCTTTTCATCGTTTTTAGTCTTAGACCCATCTGTTTTACGATGTCCAGTCTGATGACACATCTGGTGCATCCCGAATCTAGAAGGGCTAGCATCTACCCATGAGCCCTGGTGGATGGTACTTTTAGTTCTACCGGGATGTTATAGGAAAAAAAAACCACAGGACCAGACCAAGCCCTTCAATGCAGGAAAGATTTATTATGCATAAGGTTCAAACAGCAGTTACACAGCAAATTGTCTGAACCCCGAAGGGTGTACAGAGGCGTTACTTATATACTTTTAAACTACGTAGATAATTGTCGAGGGTGCATTAAGACATATTTGGTCTTAGAGGAAATGAAAAATGTTTAGTCCAGACATTTAGCAATAGATATCAAGAAAGAGGAAATAATACAAATGTATTGGAGTGTAATTATACATAGCACACATTTGAAATTAAATGCAGAAGTCAGCAGAAGTCAGCAACAGGATGCATCTGTCTGGGTCAGTCTGCTCTTTTCAGATAAAAATACTCTCTGTCATCTCAGCAACTCCTTACTGGCAAAAAGCAAATATGTAACCTTGACCAAAGTTTCAGGCCTATATATTGAGGCTTTGGGATTTGACCAAAGAATTCTCAATTACCTGAACCTTTAACCTCTTCACTCCCCCCTACGTGACTCATCTGACATGTCCAGAAGAGTCACGTACTCAGACTCTCCGGGCTGACTAGGTCTGAGGTCTTGATAATTCCACATGGCCATTACCTGAGCCGTTGCTCTTCTTTCCACCAATAAGGACAGACTGTTAGAGATAATTTTGACAAAAATGGGTAGAATACATGGGAGTATAACACAACCTGCAGCTATTAGTCCTATTAAGCCTACAATTGCTTGTAATCCAGGTAGCTTTGGCCACCACCCGGAGAACATGTCTCGCAGATTTAATCCTGTCCAGGTTTGTACAGGTACATGAGCTATCTTAACCATCTTATCTGTGATTTCTTTTATGACCTTACCACTTTCATCTATTTCAATACAACAATTGGTCAGATTAAATTTTCCACACACTCCACCCTCCTTAGCAAGCAAATAATCTAAGGCCAATCTATTTTGCATAATATAAGTCCTTGACTTCACACTTTCCCTAGCTAATTGGGTTAGGCCTTTTACTGTCTCGTTGGTAATTATTTCAACCACTGCCTGTAAACGGATCAGCCTGTTCAGGATATATATAGGAGTTCTATACCCATACAAACCATCCTCTGCCCAGGTTGCTGGTCCATAAACTTGTATAATCCGTTCAGCAGGCCATTCCTCCTTGTCCCACCTAGGTTGATTGCCACCCACTTTAACTTTTCCAATGAGAGATGTATCTACATGTCTCCTTTGCCTGTTCAAGTTTCCCACTTCGTCATACACAGGGACTCCCAGAATCTGTCTAGTTTTCAAAGGTAAAAGAAAGAATCCAGGTCTGATTATTCCTAATACACATGCTCCACACCAATTCTTAGGTAGATATCTGTATGCCATCTTACCACAAATCCAATATAGTCCATCGGGAGCCAGCCATCCGAGGGTCTGATTATCTGGATCGTTCAGAAATGTCAAGCCAGCAACTTTAAACAGGGCTAGCTCATCAACACCCTCTGTGACATTGTTACCCGACCACCATATCTTACTTTCCCACTTTCCAATGCATATTAAGTTTCCAACTTCTTTGCATCCTTTTATAATCTTACGTTTAAAACATACGTTACCTACCAAATTAGTGGTAAGTGTCCAATCTCCATCTTTCCCTTTAGTGTATGACAAATTACCTTTCTGATCCATTTCTAATACCTTTGAATAGTTTAACTCCTGAGCCTCCCATGGCCACTTTTCTCCCATATTAGTTCCTCCACAAATAAAACAATTAGAGACATTTAAGGTACGTGCTATATCTTCGGCTAACTTAACAAAGGTATTAGTTACATATTTGGGGATTTCGGGGATGTTGAGTTTTTCCATTTCTAAATAGAATGACCAAAATAATCCTTTCGTATCCTGTAATTTTCTAGTAGTTTTGGTAACTTTCCAGCTGAGTGTGACATGAGGATCTGCCCCTTTACCATAGATTCCTAGTCCATACCTCACATCCCAAGTTCTAGTAGGGGTGCAGGTAAGCTTAACAGGATTGCACCCATTCCTTTGACAATTAGAGGATGCTACTCCCACTTCCAATTTACATTTCTGATTTCCTACATGGGGGTCCCCGGACCACATGGTTACACATGACCAATAGGGACAATAGCTATAAGTGTTTTGATCATGACACTCACCCTGATTATAACACATATACTTTTTATTTAACATATAACTCCTTTCCCATTCTAAGCTCCCACAAGTGGCCTTCCAGGAATTCCGATTAATGGCCATACAAGCATCAAAGGATAACTCAACTGGCTTGCCCAAAGACCGGAACTCTGTCTTATTTAACAATTCCTCCCTACCACACTCAGTAGTATATATTGACATTTCATATGTGATAATTACTTTAGCCTCTATGGGATTGTAACATTGCACCTTACCATTTAATACACACATATGATATACTGTTGTGTTGACCTGACAAGTGGGCGGAGTATAAGGTGTACATTCGTCAGGCTTGTAAGTATGGTATACCAGGGTATTGGAGATTAAAGTGCCCTGGATTGTAGTTTTTATACAAGGGCTGCATTGTTCCTTATCTATGGTCTTTACTGTACCCCGTGGTTTCGCCACCGGTGAAGCTATTACTGAAACCCCTGCAGCTGTACTAAGTGAGGCTGGTCGTGTGCGCAATGTGGGTGTTAGGGTGGTGGTTGTTCCCTTACCTCTCCGTTTAGGGTCATAACAGAGTACCCCTTCTGTCCCATTACAGCGGTAAACAACCATTGGGCGATCGGAGCCAAAAACACATGTGGTTAGGTCAAACCATTTACAGGAGTTCGGTATCCCCGATGTCATCCGGATAGCTGTGCCATCCTCACTAAGACACGGCACACACGGTCCTCTTCCTAACCGTTCCTCAAGTCCCCTGGTTTTCCTCGGTTTCCCTTTTACCTGCCTGGACCGTGTTGCTCCGAATTCAAAAGCTTCTATTTTCAGTATACATGTTCCTTGCCACCCAGGTTTTAACTGTGTAGGGGATAGGACACGTTCCCATCCCCAATATCTGGGGGGCCCACAGTCCAGGGTTAAGGAGGATGTCCCTCCTTTGTAAGGGGCAGTAACACAAATCCCTTTTCGCAAAACATAACCCACATACTGACATACCTTTTGATTGGTGTAACCTCGGGCTTGACAAGTAATCATTGCTATCTTATCAAATATCCTAGGAGTAGTACAAGGATGTGGTAGAACACCATTCCAGCAATCAGGGGTGAACGCAATGGGTGGTGTTCCATCGCAAGCCCCGCTACCAATGTCATATGACTTTATTATGCGTGGTTGTTCTTCCGGATTACTCCACAACCCCGAGTTACTAACGCAGACCGAATTGCTTTGAACTCCAATCAACAACAAGTTCATCCATACCCATTCAAATCCAAACCTTCCAGCCATCCTTAGTCCACCTCCAGATTTTATAAGCATACTTATCTGCTTCCAGGTTTTCTAATTCCACTCTTTGGGCGTCTCGCAGTACTGCCTGTATTGTAGGGGTAGGTTTAAGAGTGTAATAGGAAGGTTCCCCTACACAAATCACCAAATATTGCAAGAGCACGTCTTCTATGATCACTATATCACACTCATCATTACAATGTATACAAAGAACACAGTCAATACAATGTGCACAGCAACAACATCCACACTTACGTGAGCAAAACCAACACATACAATAAGCAAAAGAGATTGAATACACAGCAAAGAAATAAATAAAAACGTCTTCATCCAATCTTCCCCCGTGCGTAGAAAGTCAGCTTCCGGTGTGACTTAGCAAGGGTTTCTTCCTTCCTTGAGAAATTCCTGCCATGTAATCAGTTCTGGCAGAGGAATAGACTGGGCGAAGAGAACGGAGTGAGACAAACGAACCGGTGGATTAAGGGTTTCTCCACACAATCGCAGTCTATACTGATAGAATATAAAAGGAACAAATAATAAAACAGCAACGATCCACAATCCCCACATCCAAGTCTCCCACATGAAGTGAGGCCAATCTTCAGCCGTGCGCTGAGAAGCAGCTTCCGGTGTGCTCCGGCAGGGCAAGACGTCTCTTTCTTCTTACAACCACTCAGCCATACCTGGATACAGCATACACTCCAAATAACCTATATACATATGTGAGACATTGTTTAGTTGCGTCTAAAGGTAAGCTTGGTTGGATTTTTCGGGTCCATGGACACTCTCCAGCTCTTGTCTGCTGCCGCTTTTACCCGTGTCCAATGGATCCATGATTTGGATTCTGCAATCTTAACAGCGAGAGGGGAAGACATGACAATGGTGAAAGGTCCCTTCCATCTCCCCTCTAGCTGTTCTTTCTTCCAATGTTTAACTCACACTCGATCTCCAGGTTTAAAGGGATGACAGCGAGTTACCAGTCTGGGGGGTACCTGTTCCATCACATATTGTTGTAATCTTTCAACCTGTTTACTTAGCTCCTGCACCATTTCCATACTCCAAACACCCCCCTTATGGCCCAAATCCGGCCATCCCGCTAGATGTCGCCGCAAAAGGTTTGGAGGTCGCCCAAACATCAATTCATAGGGAGACAACTTGTGTTGTCCTCTTGGAGAGCTTCGAATTGCATACAAAGCTAGTGGTAAAGCATCAGGCCATTTCAAATGACTTTCAGTACAAATCTTAGTAATTCTTTCTTTCAGGGTTCTATTCAATCTCTCAATAGCGCTTCCTGATTGTGGATGAAAAGAACTGTGAAATCTCCACCGAATCCCTACAGCTTGAGTTACTGCCTGATTAACATGATGAACAAACTCAGGACCATTATCAGAGGAAATATTGGTAGGCATCCCGAACCTGGGTATAATCTCTTTAAGCAATAGCCGTGCCACTTCTCTCGCCTGTTTAGTTTTCGTAGGAAATGCCTCTGGCCATCCAGTATACATATCCACAATAACCAACATAGCCTTAAACAGTCCACATCTTGGCATGTCAGTAAAATCAATCATGATGTAATCCATAGGAATGTATGCACGTGGTATTGCTCCGGGGGGCAATAAGGGTCCTTGTCTAGGATTAACTTTTGCACAGGTAATGCACCTGGACACCACCCCCGCAGCAATACCAGTTAGGCCATCAATGTAATAATCTCTTTTTAAAGCAGCTTCCAGAGCTGTTTTTCCCATATGAGTAGTTCCATGGGCTAATTGTGCCAAAGTCCAGGCTACAGACGACGGCACATACACTCTCTGGTCTGGTAACACATACCATCCACTTTCCACCATAGCCTGTAAATCAGTTACTGCTTTTACACTCTCTTGCTGTGTATAGGTAGGTTTTATTTCAGGTGGTATCACTCCCATATCCATGGCTACACATATTGATAAATCGGGGGTTGGCCCGTGGCGCTTGGCCGCTTCCCTTGCTTCTAAGTCTGCCGCCCTATTTCCCATGGTTATCCTATCATCTCCTCTTTGGTGTCCTCTACAATGCATCACTGCCACTTTCTTTGGCCTCTGTACAGCATCAAGTAAACGACTTATCAAATGCCCATGTAAAATGTATTTTCCAGCTGAATCTCTAAATCCTCTTTCTTTATACACTGCTCCATGAGCATGCAAAGTTAGAAAAGCATATTTGCTGTCAGTCCACACATTTAAAGTTTCGTCCGATGCCAGTTCCAATGCTCTTATTAAGGCCCACAACTCCGCTACTTGCGCACTATGTCCTTTTCCCAAAGGACCACACTCTACCACCCTGTCATCATCCACTATTGCATATCCAGACACTCTATTTCCTTCTATCATGTAACTAGATCCATCTGTATACCAGTTAAGCTGGGCATCTGGCAAAGGGATATCAGTTAAATCAGCTTGACTAGCATACACTTTCTCAAGCACTTGCAAACAATCATGCACCGGCTCTGCCTCAGTTGGTAATAGAGTAGCCGGATTCAATCTATTTGAAACAACTAGTCGCACCTGAGGGTTCTCGATCATAATAGCTTGATATTTTGCCAACCGTTGTCCACTTATCCACAGATGTCCTTTTGCGTCTAACACTGATTGCACTGCATGAGGAGTGTGCACATTTATAGGACAAGAAAAAGTAAGCTTATTACAATCTTGTATTAGTTCCGCAATAGCAGCTAACACTTTGAGACAATGAGGCCAGCCCTTTGCAACTCCATCTAGTTGTTTAGAAAGATAAGCCACCGGTTGCTGCCAACTCCCAAGCGGTTGGGTCAATACCCCCAAAGTGATATTTTTGTTAGTATCTACATATAAATTGAAAGGCTTCTGCAAATTTGGCAAAGCTAATGCAGGAGCTTGTGTCAAAGCTTCCTTAATGTCTCGGAATGCTTTCTTTTGTTCTCCTCCCCATTCCAACGGCTCAATGTTCGCCCCCCTTGTTGCAACATTCAAAGGGGCGGCCATTAAAGCAAAATTTGGAATCCAAATCCGACAAAAGCTTGCTAATCCCAGGAAGCTTCGCAGCTGTCTCTTCGTCTTTGGCTCTGCTAGAGCCAAAATTGCTTGTTTTCTCTCTGGCCCCAGCGCTCTTTGTCCTCGTTCAATATCGTACCCTAAATACCTCACATGCCGTTGCACCAACTGGGCCTTTTTCCGGGAAACTCTATATCCACATTTCAACAACAGTTCTAATAATGCCTTGGTGTTTTCCCAACAAGTATTTTCATCCTGTCCTGTTACAAGCACATCATCTACATATGCAAGATAGTATCTCCCTGTTGGCATGGCACATAGTATTGCAAATCTTTGGCTAAAGCTGTTCCAAACAAGGTAGGGGAGTTTTTAAATCCTTGAGGAAGTCTAGTCCATGTATATTGAGATTTAGTTCCATTTCTGGGGTGTTCCCACTCAAAGGCAAACAAAGGCTGACTAACTGGATGAATAGGTATCGTAAAGAAAGCATCTTTCAAGTCTATAACGGAAAACCAAGCAGCTCGGGGTGGAATTAAACTAAGTAGAGTATAGGGGTTCGACACAGAGGGGTGCAAGGTCACTGTCAGGCAGTTTACAGGGCGCAGATCCTGTACGGGCCTAAAGGAGCCATCTGCCTTCTTAATTGGAATTATTGGGGTGTTCCATGGAGACTGAATAGGTACCAACACTCCTGCCTCAAGATATCTCTGGATACTATCATATACAGCACAAACTGCTTCCCTAGACACAGGTCGCTGACCTATACGTACAGGGACAGCGCCTGATTTCAGTTCCACCACTACCGGAAGATGATGAGCTGCAAATCCCGGAGGATTATCTTCAGCCCACAATCTTGGTACATCAAACTCCTGCCATGCATCATCTCTAACCTCTTCCTTTATTTGCCTAACTACCATCAATCGCCACATCTCCTCCGGAGAATGTCTGACTGTCACTCTCTGTTTTCCTGCATCAAAAGAAATAGTTGCTCCTAATTTACCAAGCAGATCCCTGCCCAGTAATGGGAGCGGACACTCAGGAATATAGAGGAACTCATGCTCTAATTTGGTTCCTTTAAAATCACATGATACAGGTTTCAAAACTGGATGCCTCAAAACGGCTCCTGATACTCCCTGAACCTGAACTGTATAAGGTCCAGGTGCTGCTATTGGTTTATTTACAACTGATGTTCCTGCTCCTGTATCGACTAAAAAGGTTGTCTGTTGGCCCCCAACATCCACTGTAACCAATGGCTCGGATGGGGCCTCCTCCAAGCCTGGTCCCCGTCAGTCCATCCAATCAGTGTCGGCCAACCCCACAGTCTCTGGTATTTCTCGAAGCCTGTTAGGATTTCCAAAACCTCTATTCATTCTCCTATTACCTCGCCGTCCACGAAATCCACCTCTTCCCATAAACTGACCATCTTCCTGACTTCCTCGATTTCTTTCAGGTGACTGTACCCTTCCACCCCCTCTCCAGAAGTTCCTGGCTTCACCCCTACCTCTCATCATACGCCTTGGACATTCTCTCTGCCAGTGTCCCTCACCTTTACAATAGGCGCACTGGTTCGGTCCCAAGGACACTCCTCCTTGCAAAGCCACCGCTAATAACTCGGCCTTCTTCTGCATTTTAACTCTAGCCTGCTCCTCCTTTTCCTTCTTCTCCACCTTATCTCTATTAACATACACTTTCCTCGCTATCTCCAACAACTCACTCGTATTCTTCCCTAAAGCTCCTTCCTGTTTCTGCAATTTCCGTCTAATATCGTCATGACTCTGAGCTATAAACCTTTCATTCAAAATCCTTACATTCTCTGGCAACCTAGGGTCCACCTGTGTGTACAACTCATAGGCCTCAACTAACCTCTGCAAGAAACTCTCAGGACTCTCATCCGCCCCCTGTGTTATTAACGAGGGTTTAGACATATTTACTGGGGGTCTCCCTGCCACTCTCAAAGCTCTTACTACCACATTCCTGTACTCTGCTAAACGAGTGAAATCATCGGGCACCCGAGGGTTCCACCCTGGATCCACCTCTGGCACTCGTAATGGTAACTCCCTAGCAAAATCAGCATCACCTTGGAACGCTTCCCTAACTCCCTTCCTCATGGCCAACTTCCATTTTTCCTTTTCCTCAGGGGTTAGTAAGACATTCAGTAACTGTTGTATATCATTCCACGTAGGGTTATGGGTCTGCATAATGGTTTGAAAAAGGTCCGCCATCTCAGTAGGTTTAGCAGAAAGGGGTCCATAATGTTGTTTCCAATTTAACAAATCAGTAGTAGAAAATGGTACGTATTGAAACATAGGATGTATCGCCACGTCACCTTGGGCATTCACAACTGGCTGATCAATCTGCCTCAAGGGAGCCACCAATTCTGCCTCAGCAGCTCTAGCCCTTGCCTCTGCCTCCGCTAAAGCAGCAGCCTTTGCAGCGCGGGTCTGTACTCCTTCAACTACACCCCCAGCAGCTCCTCGAGCCTCTTCCCCTTCAGCCTGCTCACTTTCCTCCACCGACGGGCTTGTTTTTACCTTCGGGCGTACAACATCCTGCATGTCTCCCCTACCTCCACTAGCATCTCCTGCAACAGCCCCCCCAGCGGGTGGCTGATAGGCAGCCCCCCCAGCGGGCAGCTGATACTGCGGTAATGGAGGCGCAGTAGGAAAACAGTCTTCCTCATCCCCGACTAAAATCTTTCGCGTCCGACGCGGTGTGTTCATATATTTACCTTTCCCTTCCTTCATAACACTTTTCCTGCAACATTTCATCTTTGGTCTAGCAACACAGAGTCTCACCATTTCTGCCTGACATTGTAGCAAATCCTCTGCCTGTTCTGTCAACGCATTTACCCACTGGTCAATATATGAAAACTGATCTGGGTACTTTTCTTGATCTTTTGCTATGATACCCCACAGGTCATCTGCTACCTCCTCCCTAAACGAGCCCTCTGGGGGCCACCCAGTTCCCATATTAGGCCACACAGTGGTGCACAAATACTTCAAACGTTCTTTATTCATTTTGGGATATGAGGGGTTCTTAAAATAGCTGTCAAAACCTTTCAACATGCATGCCAACGGTGTTTTGGGCACGCTTTGGGTATTCCCCCCCCATTCTAACACACTGTCACCGACTCTCAGCCCCGGAACTCAACGGCCACTGAAGAGAAATGCGATGACTTAACCACCCCACACAATTACCTCACAGGGACTTCTTTAGGACAGCCGTCCCGAGTCCAGGGGAGGGATCAGGTCCCCTCTTCTGTCTTCAAATGAGACAGGTACCAATCTCTTACATATACTCACCTGAGGTGTCTTCACTTCACACATCCTGGCCAGGAACCACTCACACCTCCTTTCCTACACCACAGGGTTCTTGGACTCGCTCACAGCACCGTCAGCCTCACAGGGAAGTCGCTGCCGCCTCCCGGAAGTCTAAAACTCCCGTGGGCCCTGGAGGATGTTCAGGAGCGGCTGCCGTGGGGGCCTGAAGGGTTGAACGGCCCTCAGCAAAATATTGCCTCAGTCTAAAGTCCCGGCGGAGTCGCCATCTGTTATAGGAAAAAAAAACCACAGGACCAGACCAAGCCCTTCAATGCAGGAAAGATTTATTATGCATAAGGTTCAAACAGCAGTTACACAGCAAATTGTCTGAACCCCGAAGGGGTACTACGTAGATAATTGTCGAGGGTGCATTAAGACATATTTGGTCTTAGAGGAAATGAAAAATGTTTAGTCCAGACATTTAGCAATAGATATCAAGAAAGAGGAAATAATACAAATGTATTGGAGTGTAATTATACATAGCACACATTTGAAATTAAATGCAGAAGTCAGCAGAAGTCAGCAACAGGATGCATCTGTCTGGGTCAGTCTGCTCTTTTCAGATAAAAATACTCTCTGTCATCTCAGCAACTCCTTACTGGCAAAAAGCAAATATGTAACCTTGACCAAAGTTTCAGGCCTATATATTGAGGCTTTGGGATTTGACCAAAGAATTCTCAATTACCTGAACCTTTAACCTCTTCAGGGATGGTCATGGGGCCCCCATTCTGACTTACCAGGAGGTCTTTGTTGGAATCGGTTTCGGTTTCGCTGTCATTGGCGATGGTTGGAGTTCCCAACTCACCCTGTTTCAGGGGAGCGAACTCAATGACGTCTACTCCTTTTAGGGCAGTCTCGTGGGCTCTCACTAGTGCTTTATCAGTTCTCTTTCCTCCGGTAGAGGGCGCCTTGGTTCCAGGCTTGGAGAAGCACTCAATGGCTTGCTGCCCCTCCTTCTCACATTTGAAACAAGTGGAGGATTTTGGTTTTGACCCTGCTGTCCCCATTGCGGTCTTTGGTGCCCCCTTGTGGAATGAGGAAGGTGGTTGATCCCAGGTGCACCCACCATGGAGATGACCTCGGGCCAAGTCGATCTCCACATCTGCTGCCAATACGTACCAGCTCTGCAGATCGTTAGGGGCCCCTCGGGAACGGCAACCCTTGTAGACATCCTCATTTAGCCCATCTTTATAGTTCTCCAGTAGGGCCACCTCTGACCACTCTCTCATGTAGGGTGCCAACTTGCGGAACTCCTGGGTGTACTCCGCCACCGATCTCTGCCCCTGGTGAATGGCCTTCATTCTAATTCTTGCCCTTAGCTTGGCTAATGGGTCCTCAAAATGCATTCTGAGAGCTGCCATGAATTGGTCATAATTCCTCAGCAGGGGGAATTTTCATTCTGGAGCCCCACCATCCACTCAGCTGCTACCCCCTCCAGGGCCTTGGTAACGCACCTCATGCATGCGGCGTCTGAGAGGAAATCCTCCCCCCAGTCCTGCATGTGGTTCCACACTTGGGTCAGAAAAAATCCCAATTTCTTTGGGTCTCCTCCGAATCTTTCTGATATCGGGGGAATTTTTGGCTTACTTTGCCTCTGTGGTGGTGCCTGTCTTGCTGGGGGGCCCTGGGCTGCCGCAGCAGCCGCTTCAGTTCCGGAGGCTTGAGCTGTTCCTTCCCCAGCTTGGCCTCTCTCTTCCCCACAAGCAGCAGCCTCCATTCCACCTCTGGGGCATTCATCCTCCCTCCTGGAGAAGTATGCATACCTTTCCCAGCTTTTTCGGCTCTCTTCAGCCTCTCTCAAAAGTTGCAGGGCCTGTGTGACCAGGAGGTTTTCTTTCTGCTCCTGCAGCCAGCCAGCTTCTCCCCCTTGGCGTCTGGTACTTGTTACACCTTGGGGAGTCTTCTCCAGCTCTGGTAACCTCCCCTCACCCAGCGACCATTTGGCTTTCTCTGGATCTTCCTCCAGTTGTAAATTAGCCATCCAGTCTGATGCCTCCCAGGCAGGCTGTGGTGATGAATTTGCTGAGCCGGCTGCCTCCATCTGTTCCTGGTCGCTGTCCTGGTCAGACATTGTTTGTTCAGCCCCCATGGTAGTTGTCCGGGATGGCTGTTAAGGTTGACCTTGCTTAATGTCAGGTGTGCCTCCTTTCAATACTCAAGAAAGAAAACCCCCAGTCCATTTTCATAGAGAAAGGTACTTTTACTGAGTATGAACTGAATTCAACCAAAAAAAAGCAAGGTCTGAAGCAAAAGGTGTGAAAATTACATATAGAAAGCATCCCCAAAAGCCTTCCCCCAACTGTCCAGCATAAATCATCCAATCCACAATTCCCCCAGGGGTCATGTGTGGTGCAACGTCTGGTGGTGCCATCCTCCTGCTATGCCACAACAGTCGACCTTGAGTTGTTATCAGCTTCAAAGAAACTGCTGAAGGAAAGTTTCTCTCCTCTTCTCCACCAGCTCAATTCCCCCCTCCCAAGAATTTCAATAGCTCCCCCCTCCCCCCCGTTTCATGGCAGCTGAGCAAGCAAGCAATGAGTCCTATTGTGTTGCAGATGATGGCCCATTGACAAGAAATGAGTGAGCTTGGCTGAGGCCTTAATGGCCCATTGACAAAGATGTGGGTGGGGGCAGCAGGAAGCTGCTTTGTCTTTAAAACATGTTTCTCCATTTCTCATCGAGGGAAATATAATATTCTGCCTTTTTAAATATTTCCTGAAATATTTTATTCTTCTAGGAAAGGGGCGAGTGCTAACTTCTTACAATCTCTCCTTTTTTCCCCCAAAATGTGTGAGTTTTGAAACATGTTCTTGGCAAAAAATTAAAATTGATCAGATCAGGGAGGCTTGATGGGTGCTTTTAATTTTTTTCTGGTGCAAAGGGAAGGCATTGATAGAGGCAGCAGAAGAAGGATTCCTTCAGTGGCTCCCAAAAAAGCTTTCAACCATGAAGGTCTAGCAGCCAGGAGAAAAGTTCTAGAAAGAAATTTACAGTATCCAATTTTCCATGCCAATTAATTTCAGATGTCAGTCTGCAGTCCAGACTATTTAGGTTTTTTTTTTAATTACACACAATGAGCCCTGGGACTTCTACTTATGAGACCACCAGTGCAACATATCCTGCTTTACTGGGCAACTGGGCAGCATCATTTGTCAGTCACAGTCAGGGCTTGGGTTTTGGATATCACTTTTCTACTATCTCTTCAAGTGAGGGAATTGCCTGACAGGAATGTCCCTCCCCATGAAATTAGCAGGGAAATGTGACTGCTTGGGCTTTAGTGCCACAGAGAAAAAATCAACCTAGGAGAAGGTTTGTATGGAGGTAAGTGAAATTTCAGTCTAATTCTGAATGGTGTGTCTCTCTGTGTGAGCATGTGTATGCAGTTACTTTTACAATATAGGCAATAAAAACAATACAAACATGCTGGACAAATTTCCCTACCATCAGACAGAAATCTAAGGTGTTCAGAACTTGCTGTGCCAAATAAAATTCTTACATGAGTACATTACTGATTACAATATAAAGGAGACAAGAAAGCAAACCTTACAACAAATTTCCACCTTCCCCCTATAGTCTTTCCAGCTGTCTTCTGTGGATTGAAAAGTCTTTTAGTCTTTACTAGTCCATCTCAGGGTCCTTTCTTTCATGTCTGCTTGGTGGCATGCTTGGTGATAAGGCTGGTCAATCAGGCTTGGGAAGGTCTGCTCCACTCTGATTGCTGTGATGACCTTTTTTGTGACTGGATCCAAACCCAATTTTTTTCCCCAGGGGGTCGGCATGTCAAGATTGAACCCCTTTTGAAACTTTTGAATCTTATCTCTATTCAACTTGCCAAAAACCTGTTGGAAAGGAAGGGAAGAATGCAGATACTTCAGAAACAGACCGTGAGAGCCAAGAACCCATCAAGTGCACTGATGCAGGTATCCAACAAAGAAGTGAACTGTTCTCAAGCAAAAGGGCAATTCATAATTGGCCAGTGTGAACATCTATGGGTGGGGAAAGGGCAAAGTTATTGTTTAACCATGCAAGTGTTGTGTGGGAAAAACCAGAGCTGGTTTTGATTCTTCAGTACTGAAATTGTGTATCCAATAACGTTTTGCTTTTATCATCACAAAGTTCCTGAGAGTGCCTACTTTTTTTTGGGTTCGCTAATCAGACCATTGACAGAAGGCAGTTATATGGACTCCTACAACAGTGCATGTTACATCTCTGAGGGCTGCATTGGTTGCCAGTTG